GGCTCAAGAGGGAAGAAAAGGTTAGGGGATAACCATGGAGCATCACATGCTGAGACACTGTAGCGCAAGTCCCGTGGGACATTTTTGTGGCACACAGAATGCCACCCTTTTGTCACAAAGTTTGCCAAGCAGCCACAAGCTGTCGTAACGTTATTTATATGCGTATGTTATTTCAAACTTTCCCTCAACTAAAAGGGAAGGTAGAAGGATGGCTTTGTGTTCAAAGTAGAGGGCTGGGAATTATTTATTCTTGGTTCTGCCACAGTCTCCTTGTGCATCCTTAGGCCAAGCTGTTCATCTCTTTGTGCCACAGTCTTTCTATTTGTAAAATACAATTGATAGTATGTATGTCACAATGGATGTTTGAGGCTAAATTCTTTAATAGTTGCAAAATGCTTTGAGATGTAACACTGGGAAGGACAAATTACTTAACACTGTAATGCTGCATGCATGCAGTTATGCTAATTAGTGCCTTTTTAGGCACTGATCCCTTATTGTTTGTAGATTAATGCTGCAAGCTGGTCCAGTTTTAGTCAAAGGTATGTTTGACATTTAAGTTCTTTACAGAGAGAGTGGTGAGGTGCTGGAACAGGCTGCCCAGAGAGGTTGTGGATGCCCCGTCCCTGGAGGTGTTCAAGGCCAGATTGGATGGGGCTCTGGGCAGCCTGGTCTAGCATTAAATGGGGAGGTCAGTGGCCCTGCATGTGGCAGGGGGTTGGAGCTTCATGATCTGTGAGGTCCCTTCCAACCCTGGCCATTCAGTGATTCTGTGACCTAACTGGCTCTGGGACTGATCTGGAACAGAAGAATTCCTTTTCTTTTTGACAATGCTAATTGATGAAATAAAAATTCTCCAGACTGGCCCTTAGAATACCTGGAGTTTACAAGTTTCTTAGGCTTGTGCAAGCTAGTCTTGCAAAAGCCATTGGATTGGCTAATGGATTTTTGGAGGCAATCTAACTGTTTATGTATTTAACACACACACATGGTGCCAGTGAAAAAATCTGCAAAAACAAGGCTCATTCTTGTGGATGTATTCTGATAGAAGTCAGAGAGCTGCTGTGGGCTGGTCACTTCATAAGCATTGCCCATTAAAACACAGTAACCTATTTCCATGAGCAAATGTTTATTTTGTTAAGTAAATCACGCCTTTGTTTCCTTAAACAGTGTATTTTTGGGGGCTGTATTTCTAAATATCTTTTCCTGTCAGAAATGCTGTGTCAGAAATGATCATGTATGGTGTTACCATTGATAATCTTATATAACATGTCTGTTCTTATTGCTGAGCTTCCATGTAAATACTCATGTGGTTCATTGCTGCTTTGTGACTGTCACAGCAGATCCTTCTGCTTTTTCTATTGCTGTAAACAAGCTGTTGTGACTGATACTTCTTTTCACCATATGTCTTTAACACTCCCAGTTCATAGTTATATGTCATTTCCAGGATGCTTTGTAGGGTGTGTATGCCTCCACCCCATTTCAAAATCAATGTAACTCTCAATGGATTGACTAATGACTGCAAGGTGTTGCTTAGCATGCTGGTTTTGGCTGACAGTGCTGCTAAATGAACAGCCGTTTGCTTAACATGTCTTTCATGGTTCCCATGTGAAGTAATTTTTACTGACAAATTGAACATACTGATGGCTTCAGGTTTGCTAGTGAGCATCTCTCTGATAGGCTTCTGAAATCAAAAAGTATGACCCCAGCTTGTTACCTTGAGTACTGATAATTCTGCCCCATGCCTTAGCCATATCCTGTGTTTATATTGGCCTCCTTCATTTTGTTTTGCTGATCTCATCACTACGTCTGTCATGAATCTGTACAGTAGGCAGTGGGTGGTGAGAACTAAAGAAAACTGGAATGTACCTGTAAGTGTGGTGTGCTGATGCAGTTTGTAAGATGTTGCAATTCTGCCCCACTCTGAGGAGCTAGGATTGATGTCAAGGTTTTATTTTTCCTTTTGTTGTCATGTGTTGTTGCATGAGACCATTCTTAAACCTATTCATGGAGTCGGACATGCAGCACCAAAGAGAAATTGCTCATGCACAGCAAACGTATTTACTTGTTATTACAGTGGGCGGACGTGCTTTATTATTCACCTACGACATGTTGACCTTCCAGAAGGTCTACTTAGCATTTCAGTAATAGCATGTGACAATGCAGTATTGAGTGTGGTCAGGGATGGTGTCCTGTTAATCATGTTAATGAAAGCAATCATCTGGAGGTGAACAGAAACTGAATTCGATCTTGTAAACACGTGAAATAAGTTAAACTACAGGAAGGAGTGTTCTTCAACCATCTCTCATCTGACTACAGATTTCTACATTACATGGTTGTCTGAACCTATGTCATACATGCTGCATTGCTGGACTGTCTTTACTGCTTCGCATATTGCTGTTGGGAAAACAACTGTTATTAATGACAGTTTTTCCTTGACAAATGGGGATTTGTTCATGTTGCTTTTAGAAACATGACATGCATTTACCTTGGTAGGTATCTGGCAGCGAGCTGTATGACTCTAAGTGTGCAGGCAGTGGATCCCTTGAGGTTAGTGTAGATGCCTGCATGCAGCTTCTTGTAGTCCCACAGTGGCAGGGACAGAGTTTCTTTGTATGCATACAGTGCAGCTTCTCAAACATCCGTCCTTTTTGCTAACATAATGGTGTAAGTTACAGTTCCTGCTTCTTGTTCTGCTCATGTGCGTTGAGCCCTTTAATTCTGGAAATTGGACCCAAGGGTATTACTGGAGACACTGCTTGATGAGCTTCTATACTGAAATCTTTCACGAGTCAAGAACTAGATAAAAAGAGCCTGATCTAACTGTCTTGATGTGAAAAGTTAATCCCTGTGGAGAAGAATAGTTAATTGACACTGGGACAAATGGACATCTGTAATGAACATCCAGATCGTTTCTTTTACTCTTTGTGTGAGTATTGGCAATTTGGAAACTTTTTTTTTTTCAGTATACACAACTGGTTCTTGTACACATTATCTGGTCATAGTGCTCTCATTCTTGATGAGAGCAGTCTTAGTGACTGGGTATTATTTGGGCTACTCTTGTGCATGTGGTCCTGTGTTCAGACATGGTGGTAGGGAGAGAACATCTGTACAAACAGCCTGAAGGAGCTGTTGCAGGAAGGAGTATGTCTGCACTGTGTGCTGTCCAAATCAAATCATTATTTTATGATGTGTTGGATTTAAAATGTATTTTGATGTAGTAAACGCTTTCTGTGTTTGAATACAGCTGACAGCCAAGTTTCTTCTGCAGCTGAGTGCAGAACAATGTTGGTTTTGATTATGGTGGGTTCTCTTTTGCAGCAGTGCTGAGACAGACAAATCATTTGAGTGCATATGATTGCCCCATTGCCTGAGGCATAGGATGGCTTTCTTTCTTTGCTGCTTTTGCCAAGTGTCAGAGGATAAGGACTGTAAGCTGCTGCTTGGTTTTATACAGCGGTCTGAGCACCTGTGATACTCCTGCTGGTCTTTCTTAGTGCTTATTATAGTGTCTGTCCCATTTGCAGCTGGGTGTTGTGGTTGGTGATCTTTTGTCTCCAAGCACCTTTGAAAACTGCAAGCTGTCACCTGGCTGTTTGTGTTTTTTTCTTATTCTTATCCTTGCCATAACTTGCACCTACCTGACATAAATGTGCCAAACTATCTTTGCTCTTGAAGGAATAATAATAGTTCCGTGGAACTCTTAATATAAAATGTATCCCATAGGATTCCCTGCCTCTCTGTGAATGCTGGAACACATAATCAATTTAATGAAAGGCTCCTCAGTGGGCTCTGTGCTGTCTGTCTGGTAAGGGGCAGGATTTAAGGTGCAGCTGGAGAAGAGCACAGATGGTGTTACCTCCTTGTTTCAGAAGGACGTATTTTGCCCTCTGCTTTGTATAGGCTGGAGTAGAAATAATTTTTGGTTCAGAAAATGTTTATGATTAAGATTTGACAGATGCTGCCTTCTTTCAGAGGCTGTACTTCTGCTGGCCGTCAGTGCATAACATTGTCCCCAGCCCACCACTGTAGTTCTTATGAAGACCAGCAAATGTACAGTGCCCTCAAATTTAATGTTGGCTTGAGAAACAGAAGGGAAAACTCTTACTGTTTCTTTAAGGAGTTCCCAGAGTACTTCTTACATTCTTAGAGTAGCTTTACGTTGCCTCTGTCATGACTTCCATTATTATTTGCAGTCAAATTTTTCATTTATTCCAGAGGCAATTACTGTAAGCAAGTGCTTTTAAAGTAGTGATCTTTTTGCCTAACTGTATGGCTTAATGCTTGTTGTTCACATGGCACAAATAAATTGAGGTGGTTTCATTTTGTATTAGCTATCTGTACTGCATATTCTGCTGTTATTACATCAATGACCATATAGGTTATAAGCCTCTGAAAAGTTGATTGAAGAAATGATGAGAAGGGAATTAAAGCAAGCAAAAACTAGAGAATGTAGAATGTCCTTCCTTCCTTCCTTCCTTCCTTCCTTCCTTCCTTCCTTCCTTCCTTCCTTCCTTCCTTCCTTCCTTCTTCCCTCCTTCCCTCCCTCCCTTCCTTTCTCTCTTTCTCTCTTTCCTTCCTTCCTTCTTTCTTTCCTTCTTTCCTCCTTTCTTTCTTTCTTTTTAATTTCTGTTTTTCAGCCATCTTTTTACCCTGTGGGACAGAGTTAGATTCTTTGTTACATTCACATGCAGTGCTGTGCTGGTTGTTGTTGACCTTTGCCACTCACAGAGGTAAATTTGACCACAGAGGTTCAGTTGTCCTTATTGTTAAAGTAAGATAACGCACTGTATACAGCATCTGAGTTAAATGACACTGGAAGATGGTCTATGCATTTCATAGTTACTTTTTCTTGGATAATGATTAGCAGCAGTTCATGGTTTCAGAGCAGAACACCTAACTGGAGTCAAAAGGAGATCATGCTCACGAATTTATGGCGAACATTTGCATATTGCCGTATGTGTCACAGTGAATAACAGCATTCTATCTCTTGTTCCTTACAGATAAAACAAGACAAACCAGAAAAGATACCAGATCTAAAATCACTAGTAAAAGAAAAATTTACTGCATTGGAGAGCATGAACAGTGACTCGGATTTGGAAAAAAATGAAAAATACATGTATTTTAAGGATCAACTTAAAGACATGAAAAAACAATGTAAGTCTTATTTTTTTAAAAGATTAGTGTTAAATGGTGACATATGTAGTAAATGTCTTAACATATACATCTGCCAGTTGTGGCTGATGCTGAGGTGAGTGTTCTGAATTCAAAACTTACTTAAACTGGTATCTGTGTAGCAGAAAGCTGATGTAGCTACCTAGGTAGTTTTATTTAGAGTTGCAACTCCTGCCTTGCTTGGGTACAAGTACCATGGGAATCTCGTTTCACATTCCCTTTTGTAAGGTGGGCTTTTTCATCTGAGGACAGGGCTTTTTCTTTATTTGATGGGATCTTCTAAAAGGATTAGGTAAGCTGTTTTCTTTTGTCACTTAAACAAATTGCTCCTGTTTCACAACTCGGATGTGTTGCAACTCTAAGAAGACCTTTGCTTTAATCAGAAGAACTATATTGTTGGAAAATGCTTACTGTGTGTTTTCTCAGGTTTACAACTTCTATGCACGCACTGTGTAATACTGCAGTGTATTAAAATATGTTTTTCTTAATTTCCGTAGCTTCATCAAGTGTTAAAATTTTAAGTTATTTGTGCTTGAGTTACAGGAAATGTTGGAGACTTAACAGTTCTACTATTTGTGCAACACTACCAAGTAGTATACTTTTATTGCCCTGCACAAATAGCAGCTATTAAAAAAATCACTCAGATTACTGTTACTGAGAAAGTTCATGAGCTCTAACACTACTTGTGCTGTTCTTCACCAATCGTGGTTATGTTTTGAAATCATATTATTCTGCTTACTGTCCCTTGACCCCTGTACCTATTCCCTCCCACACCACATTTTGATTTCAACATAAACTGGTATCTCAGGAACTTCAGGAGCCATAGATTAATGATTTATAGCATTGGAAACCGATATTGTGGGTTCTCTCCTGTAGCTCTCCTTGCATTTTTTTTGGAGGCCAGTGCAAAACCCACTGAAACTAGCGGAAACAATTTTCCCGCTGGCTTCACTGGACTTTGGATTACTTCCCTATAGAGATTTATGAAGTCTGAGGACATGCTTGACAAGGTGAATTTTAGATCTGATATCTCAACACTCACTAGGACTAGAGCTTGAAGGCTTAATACATTTGTTTCCCATTTTTATGTTTTTTCAGATTTCGAATTTGAGTATTAGCACTGATGTCTGAGTTTAATAGAACTCTGGGCACTACTTTAAGAATGAACATACCAAGTTGCAGACCACAAAAAAGTGTAATTTTCACTCCCTACATAACCATGCAGTTATTACTGCCCTGCCATTATGTTGTAATTCCTAATTTCCAGGTGTTTGTAATTGGGAAGATAAAATCTTGATAACTGACTTTGGATTTACTTTCCAGTCTGTAAGTGCCTAAGGGGGGGGTGTGTGCCCCAGTGATATAGTCAGTTCAGGCTGTGTGACTGAGCTGTAACTGGCAGACCCATTGAAAAATCCTCAAATGAAATAAGCAGAGTAAGAGTTATTCTTTTTTAAAAAATAAAAGAAACAAGGATATCATCAAACCACCTCTGCCTGAAATCTATATTTGTCTTACTAGCAGCTTGGACTCCTATTTTGGTTGTGCATAGAGATCGAACAGTGGCCATCAGGATATTCCTGAAGATATTGCATGGACTGATGTTCAGTATTGCATGAGCTGTGTTACGTACACAGACTGCTGATCAGCTTGGTCAACTTAGGGTTAGTAGGATTTGTAATGGTTTTGATAAGGTAAAACAATCAGATTTTCTTCTGTTGCAGTCTTTAATGGGATTCAGAAGGTTGAATGGGAAAGAGTTTGTTGATTTTCACAAAGTCTTGGATGTGATACAGTGTTCTTGTATTCAAAATAATGATCTTGGATTCAAGCAAACAATCTGGTTCAGCCCACCTTCTCTTGAAATGGTAAACTAAATGCTACCTCAAGTCTGCAAACAGGGATGAGTTAAATTCTTCAAAGCAAGCCCAACTGTACTGCCTTAAACATGCATTCAGTGTTGTCTCTTCTGCCTGAATAATCTCTTCATCCACTGTGAAGTTACTTTCTTTAAAAATGCTCTTTAACCAGGAAGGGTAACAGACATTCTTGAGCAATAATGGGTAACTGAAGATCAATGGAGTCTGCTTATGTTTACATATAAAAATTTGCTTCCATATGAGGTAGTGTCCTGGAAGCAGTAAGACTGCTTGGTTTCTCTACTTCATGTAGTAATGTGATCTTCCTATGATTACCCTCCTCCTTTCTCCCTCCTCCTGTGAATTTCCCCCACTCATGGCTAGCCTTCAAAAAGGCCTCAAATTCTAAACACAGAATTGACTATTCACAAACGTAAAAATTATAGATATTCACATCTTATAGGATCATGGCGACTGATCTTGACACCTTTGTGAGAGGCTAAACTGTCTTGTGATTTCCATATAGTACAAAAAGCCTCATTGTTGTCCCTTACATAGTAAATCAGCATGCTGATATACGCAATAGAACACTGTCAGTGTTATCTAAGATGCCACCTATGCCAAATAGAAGGCAGTGTTACTGTACAGAGTGAGCTCAGAGGCAGAAATGTCTGCATTGCAATACCAGTTCTAAAGAGAACATTAAGGTCACCCTGTTAAAAATTCAGCAGCCATGCTAAAGTCAGGTCACATGTGTGCTTGTTAGCTTCTCCTTAATGAGTCATGTCTTCATAAGGGTTCATCAATACAGATCTCATCATGTAGTTTATTATAATGTGTCTGCAAACTCTGGGACACACTTTAAAACTACTCTTTGTGAGTTATGTATATCAATATCTTCACTAACAACTACCTGTTTAATATTTTCATTTCAACTTGAAGTTTTTCAGATTTGGGCTCAACGTCATGCATAATCCCTGACCCATTTAAAGCACTATGGGCACAAATACAGTGTGGTCCAATTTTTACTCTTTCCTGGGATTTGGTTTTATTGCCAGCTCAGAATTACAACCAAGTTTTCTCAGATGAACTTCTGTGGAGTTTTCCTTTGTCCCAGCCTTTTCCACCTCAAAGGGGCAGAAGGGGTAGGCACAAAAATGATTTACCTCCCATGGTGAGTTACCATTAATCCCTGCCTGTCTTTTATGCAGGGTTTAACGTTTGTATTCTGGAATAGCTGAACAGGGACATGTTGTGTTCTCACGTCGTCTTGTTACTTAGAAATTAACTTGGCATAAGGATTTTAGGTACAATGTGGAGTGTGAAGCAGTTAAATATAACCTTGCTTTAACAGAAAAGAGAGCTAATGCATTTTCCATCTTGTTCTTGAGATTTGCTGCCACAGTAAATGAAAGGGGAAAGGAGCTGCCTGGTTGTTACCTGCCACCAGAGCAGTGACATGTGCTTTGGAGGCAGCTCTAAATCCCAGGAAGGGGAAAGGCACTGCATTGCCTTCAGACTGTCCTCATCTGTAGGCAGTTCTGCAGGAAGGAGACCTCCACTTTAAACTATGGCAGTAGCAGATGATGCCATGCCTTAGAGCAGTTTCTGTTCTCTTCATCTTTCAAACAGTTTGCAGGCAATCTGTGAGCCTTTATTGTACAGCTGCTTTAGCTGGAATTTGTGCAAAATGATGCAAAACCCCCACCTCTGATGGTATGTGTCAAAACACTGTCAGACACATTTATGTGAACAGCAAGTGATTTCTCTGAAGTCTCTTTCCGGAGCTGTGTTACATGCCTAAATGCCCACTTCTTATTTTTAAGGGAAAACAGTTTCATTCTTCTACTTAAAGCTGATTAGACTGTAAGCAATAAAATAGAAGTGTTGAAGTTTTGTTCTTTATTTGTTTATTTGTTTTTTAACCATTTCTTGTGACTACATTATCTTTTCCAAATAATATAGCACTTGTAGCATATTTGCTCAGTCTGGTAATATCAGAAAAATTCAAAATAATTGCATGCGTGGGTTCTACAAAATTTTTTTCTGACCTTACCCTTACATGACTGATGCTCTCCTTAATGTAAGGGTCCCAGGTCTGCAGTGTGCTTAGTGATCTACTCTTGATTAAGTGAAACATTTAAGCAAATTCCTTAAGTTAAATTGCATGAGTATATCCTTTGAAATGGGTGAAAGGGTGAAATTGCTGGCATGTTTCACTTCCTTCTTGGAGCGTATAACCACAGAGCAGAACTTAACAGGACTGAACTTATAGGAACTAAGTCATGATTACTGTAGGAATTGTAACTTTGCATTAGTATCTTTTGTAAATTTAAAATCCCCCCCTTGCATTTAATGTTGCATTAGCAAGTCTTTTTATTTTGTGCCAGTATACATATCAAAGGCATCTTCTGGCACAGAGTATGAGAATTTTGCCTTCACAAAATGAAAGTAAGTACTGTCTTTAATCTGTATGTATCAGTTTAAGTTTCTGATACCCTGTGAAAAGAACTAATCAGAAGCTGTAATCTTTACTCCTGTGACCCCAACTGCCACCGTAGTATTTGCTGAAGGTTATTTAGTTTCACATTCAGTGCACAAAGTGGGACAGGTTTCATAGCCCTTTTGTAGTAGCTGACAACATGCACTTTGGAACCCTTGATAACCACCTCCTGCACAAATGCCCAACAGATGCATACTTCGTTAGCAGTCATTTTGTAGAAAGTGCTATGATTTGGATGAATGACAATATTGCTGGATGTGCCAAGCAATTTGAGTGAATTTGTCAAGTGTAAGGATACTTTTTTTTAGGGAACAAATCACTCTGAGACACAATATTGGTTTTGGCAGCTATTTTGTCACAGGAAACCAGTAATATAATTTGGAAGGTAGCAACAATGCTCTTCTGTGCCCTCTCTACTAAGGAAACAGATTCTCAAGGCAGATTTTGCAAGGAAAAAGTGTGTGTCATGATTTAACATTCTTCTAGGATGGGTTCATAAGATATTTCCAGAGGAGAAGACTTCAATATTTAATGTTCAAGTAGACACCATTATACACCATTTATGCATATATTTTAAAACCATGAATTTGCTGAGTGAAAATTAGGTGAAAAATGTTACTTTTGATTCAGTTTGGGTTATAGAAAAATAATATTTTGAAAGATATTCTCTTTAATTTCCTAAAACAATCTTCTTAGAGATGTTAGGTAAAACTAAAAGTCCTCTATATGCTTTTAGTAGGATAAGAAAAAAAGCTGCAGCATGACACTGTGTGGTATAATGCATGATAATTTCATTCAAATAATCCTCAAAACATCACACTGAGGTAGGCAGGTTAATTTTTTTCCTTACCACGTAACAGAGGTGAAACTTGAGTAAATAGTCAGTTGTGTAAATGAAT